GCACAAACTCATGTACTTATTTCAGCGTTTAAAATTACCAATCGACCAGATGTTCTATATTTATTATAAAGTGATTATACTGCGTAACATACTTACAGTCTACGCATACACATATAAATATCTGTACCTATACCTATGTACGTAAGTATAATTGCATTTATTGCTAGGAAAATGAAATTCTTAAACTACATAAATCTACCGTTAAATGAAATGCTTGCACTTAGGATTAAATAAACTCTTAATTTGTAATTTTGTTTTCCTCCCTTAAACAATCCTCACCTAAGGTGTATTTTTTAATCCTCTGTTTTAAACACTATTCAGATCATAACTATTACTAAATGGACAATGAACATTTATCTATGTCTTTCTCGTGGATTTCTTCACAAATGTCATAAATATATAAAATTTACCCTCATCACCCTTTTTTACATGATCTCAAGTAATGGCAGGGCATACTGTTGAAGTTCAAATACTTAATTTACATGCAACACTAATTCAATCAGTTTGCTACAATTTGACATGACTTAAAGTAGTACGAAAACTTCCCATGGATAGCTAATACTTAATATCACCTATTTCTAAAATATTCTATTTAGGAGATGCTACAAGATTTCAAGATTGACAACAAGATTATATAACTTAAAGTGACACAATTGCCATTATTACGGCAAAATGAATTACTTCTCCAAGAGCAACAAATTTATCAAGGTGTCCACGCAAAACTGCCAAATAATGAATGATGTCAACTCATCGAAAAACTTGCCATCTCCCATCCCCACTTTTAACGGAGGACATGATGTCAAAAATTTCTTAAACCAAGCATTTTGTGACCTCAGACTTTTCACGTTTTTTGAGAAATTTACCGTCGCCACGTACGATTTTTTAAGAGAATCTAACGTGACATGAATTATTAAAAAGTAGTTGATTCCCATTAAACAAAAAAATGCAGACACTCCAAAACTTAGATTTTTCCACGATGTTATAATAACGTAGAGTGAAAGGATTTCCGACAGGATGGTCAGGAAGATGAAAATATTGATGAAAGGCTTACTCATAACAGCGTTGACAAGGTTTTGGAATACTTGTGCGACACGGAAAGCCGCTAATCCATGATTTGCAGAGGGGTAATGATTCAGTTGGCTAAATATTGTAACATTTCTATTTAAAAAGTGTCATTTAAGATGTAACAATGAAACAATAAAAAACCTCACTCTTCAATCATCTTAATCCACAATTCCACCATTACCGAAGGATAAAGCAAAATCCGGCTGATCGTGATAATCATAATTCCTGCCAGTGAGAACCAGACGTACCACTGCGCAAAGCCATTGATAAGACGCACCCAGACCTCGGCGTTTTGGTCGCCCCATCCATCCCGACACTCGAGGAGTACGGTGTTTGCAATGGAGGGTGGCATGCAGGGCAGAAATAATCCTACCGCTCCCATCATACTCGGGCCGACAAATATTGTCATCTTTATAGTATCAAGATTGGAAAAGATTCTGATTTCCGTGTATTCTGATGCCCCTGAAATTTCCAAAAGTCAGGATCAGTAACTTAATCAACAAAATTATAAACCTCGATATTTACCTCGGGCAATACATTTAGTCTCAATCCAGACACAACTTTTCAGCACTTGCAGTAGTTCTTTTTTGCGAAATAGGAAACAAACATGCAGACCAAATATCATAACATAATTAATAAGGAAGAAGAATCCAATTGTTTTTTGCCAAACGGGAAGACCTTTGTTTCCGTTAAAATTATAAAACCAGAACGAAAACATGACGTTGTAGAAGAGCCATAGGAAAGCAGTGCAAGCGTAGATAACCCAATGGCTTGTTTTGTCAATGACTAAAAAACGCACGTCTTCCTTGCCTCCAGATTCAGATGCTAACGGAATTGCAAATGACCTTATCGACCATTTAGTGAGCCAGGTCATGATGGATAAGTATGAAGTCTCCGAGTGCGAGAAAGGGCTCGCAAGTTTTCGTAACAGATTACTCATGTTGTTATGCACGTTGAAAGTCAAAGCCTCAAAGTTTGTACCGTATTTAAATTTTGGGGTAAAAGTACTTGGACGAGAAAGTTTTCACCAGCCTGCAGACAGAAATTATATTTTTATACGGGTAAGAAAATAGTCAAATATCAGTCATAAAAGGCCAAAGAAATTTGTCACTTAAATTGCTGTAATCCGGCATGCTTTTATTAGATAAATTACTACTTTCCTAAAAAAAACTGCTATTAAAATTGCGCAGCACGAGATTTAGGTTTCTCGTGAAAATTCATTCCGTAACACGCAACAATTTTATTGCTACTCTTTGAGAGACTTTCAGTTACTTATTTAGGCGACTATTTCCTTGATGGCAGCGAAAATTATGGCTTAAAAAGTTGGGTCAATGACTATGATTTGATGGCTACATTCCCTCTCATAACTGGACAGTATATGTATGTAATTATTTAATCAAATTTCACAAAAATATGTATGGATTATATAAGCTTTAAGTTTCCACTGTACTGTAGCTGTAGGAATTAAAAATGAATTGAAACAATATGGAACAAATATTGTCGTGGAATTTACAGTAATTAATAGCACTATTTTCAAATGTCTAACTTGTTAAAAATTTATACACCATCCATAATTACTTTTTTAAAGTGGAACATTACATGAGTAAAGCAAGTTATTATTATACAATTGACGGTAGTAGTGGAGTAATATAACCATCTACGATTTACTGCACTTTAGTACATATGAGTAACAATAATTAAAACCAGAAATTTGAAAGACAGAACAATTTGATGTCATTAAGATTTGCATAATTTGTAGAACTGATTTATAGATAAGTCCAACGGTAGCCAATTTGGTACTAATCCGCCCGACGGGAGGTGCCGATACTCCCAAAAACAGCAAATGGGGCACCGGATTCCTCGATGATGAAAAAAATGTCGAAATGCTAAGTAATGTATGTACCTTCAAAAGATTCGGAATGCTTTTGTCTATAACCCGAATTGAACTATTTTCGAAATTCGAAAAAATAACTCGGAAAAACTATAACTTGTTTAATTTTTTGATTTTTTCGAACTTGAAAAATCCCTCGATTCGAGTTGTAGAGAAAAAAATTACGAATCTATTGATGGTAGCAGCATTTCAATAATTTTTCGATCGTCGAGAAATTCGCTGCTCCCTTTACGGTTTTTGCGACTTACCCATACAAACTGCAAACCTTAGAAAAATAAATTTTTTTTTGTATTTTTCGAAATTCCAGTTTTGGTTATTGTTATTAGCAGTGGCCGCGGAAGGGTGGGACAGAGGGACACTGTCCCTCGGTATCCCCGTCATCTGCCCATGTTATACAAAGCCCTCCCTCCCCTATCCTACAGTGTTAATGTCCCCTTGTGTCCCCACAGCTTCCGCGTCCACTGGTTATTTGTAGACTTATGTTTGCAGATTACCAGCATCCGGAATGTCGGACACAACAACACCATGCAGTGTTCATGCAATAAATTAACGTCTGTTATGTACTCCCTTATATATGCTTAGCGCCCTGATTCGAAGTTTGTAATTCCATGGAAAACAATTTTTGTTTGTACATACATAAATAGCATACATTGGCAATTAAATGGTTCATGTAATTGGATTACAAATCGCTCAAAATTCGGGAATTGAGTTATTTCACCTCTTAAATTACATTGAACTACCTACCTATACAAATTACAAGTACAGTAATTGGATTGCATTACAAATTACATTATTTGACCAATTCGCTCCAATATTTCCTAAGCACAATCGTGTAGCTATGTTCAACCTGTCTCAAATTAAATCAAATTGAATCATTATTGCCCTTGACAATGAGAAAATCTATGTATAATATGTATGCAATTAATAATTACTAATTATCCAGCACCTGACAACTTTTATTTTATTTCCTAATAGCCCACATTAAGAAATAAGAATACCATCAGAAACCGAAGGGTGGGCTTGAATAAAAAATATCGAATTTTGTGTGAATTAAAAAATGCGTATCTTATAAATTACAATACAATAGTATACAATAGTATATTGTGTACAATTTTTATTTTTCCGGATAAATACTGGACTTTGATGGAGCTGCCATTTTATAGCAACAATCTAAATAGGTTTCGCTTTAGGAGATATAACATATTCGGTAACAAACCAACGATGCATAAAAAACCAATGTATTCCAACAATTAAAATTGAAGTAAATAAAATATAGCCTATCCTAAAATGTGCAATGCAATTTAAAGTTATGCCAAGCGATCCAAGAATTTTTCTTTCCGATTTACAAGTGTTACTTACAACAGTTCGCTGTTACCATTTAAGTAAAACTTTAAAAGTAAACGTGAAAAACGTATCCTTGTCAGATTCAAAGAATAAATAAATCATATTGCTGTCAGTACATTTTGAATATGTATGTATTACATACACTTCTGAATTACAGGATAATTTTACACTTACTCTGCAACTATATTGTTGCGTTCACGTATTTATTCATTGCATGAGCAAAGTGTTTGATATTGAGCCACTGAACCATAATTACATTACTTGCACACATCTGATTTAGCAAACATTGCACGCTCGTGTGAAGTTCCAAGAAAAAATGCTTTGTTAAAAAATGTTCGAGTTAGTTACATAAATATATTTTTTATCCAAGTCAGGCACAATTTTACAAAGCGAAAACGTGGAGATTGGGACCGATCATCACCAGATACGATACGAGTACGAGTTGTGGACGAGTCCAGAGTCAACCTAAGAAAAACCTGTGCGGATTTTGTACCCTTCAAATTTCTTCCGTCTCACTCCCATGACTTATGGGCCATAAGCCAGCAACATTCAATCGCTTGTGTATCAATTACATGATTTCAAATAGGAATAGGATGACAACTTTTCTTGCTTTGCAAATATTTGATATCACGTTCAAAAATATTTCAAATAATGCAAAATAATTTTATTGATTATTGCCAGACAAATCTTATTTCCATTGTATTTCGGTATGTGGAAAGCATGAATTTTACTTACATTCGTAGAAAACAGAGCCTTTGTTTGGACAAGTTTATCATGAGACAAGTTTTGGTACGAGTTTGATTTCATCTGCTTTCTTCTCTTCCTCTTCTCGAACGGTACGAAATGTTTATTTTTAGTCCGTGTTTGGATACAAATTAATTTCGCCTAGGTGATGCTTACTTGTTTCCTCTTCGCCCACATATAATTCACCAGTAAATTGCAAATACATAATTATTTGTCTCAGTTAAAAGTCAAGTCATTAATTTCTTTCTGTTTTTTTATACTGTTTAGTTTTTACATAACGACATGTCCAGCCAAGTCTGCCTTCTATGTTTGGAAATTGGCGTCGGCGACAAAGCAGGTCTGAAATTCAACAAAATCAGAATTGAAACCCTCTACGACGTGCTGGCACCCAAGATCAAATTTTCATTTGAACCGAAGCTTGCAGAGGATGACATTTGTGAATTTTGTCAAGATTGTTATCCTCTCGTCAATAAGGTGGAAGAACTCAGGCACCAAATTTCATCTCTGGAGAAACAAGTTAGAACGAAAGTTGGAGAAATTCGGGCTACAATTATAGAGCATTCTTCTTCTTTAATAGAAAACAAATCGGGAGAGAAAACTATGCAAATCCGTGAAAATATAATGCACGTAACAGGTTGATCGTTTATTTATTACAAATTTAATTCATCACAGTGTTATTTAGCTTGCAAATTTACATTAAATAATTGTGTAATAGGATAGGTGATATGATTACAAATTTATTGATGAACCAATGTAATGTGTATTTTTGAAACTTTAGGCCAGAAAGACGACAAAGATTTTCCATCCGACGACATCCAAGTAAAAGTGAAGCAGGAGGATGATTTTCTTAGTGATGTGGACATTGTGGAAGATCAATCCTTTCACACTTATCCGTCTTACCCTACAGATATCAGAGTAGAAGAAGATGACGTTGAGGATGATGATTCCGAGTTTTGCATCATTCCTTTTTCTCAACAAAAGAAGCCAAGAGGAAGACCTCGATCGACTAAGAACAAATCACCACCATGGTATGCATTTTTGACATATTGTTTGATGATTTAGGTCAATATTTTTTTATTGACACTATTAAGCTATACAAACGTTTTACTACCAAACAAAACAGTATATGTATGTATGTGCACACTTACTTTTCACAAATTTGTACAGTTGAAAATCTTGACCTTCATTGTCCTGCATATTGTTTTTCTTACTGGATTATTTTGATTTATTAATCTCTGACAAATTCATAAAGCAAACGACAAAGAGAGGATTCCGAAGATGAAGCTAAAGAACCAGTAATTCCAAAAATAGTTTCGAAACGGATCAAATTGCAGTCGGGGGAACTAGGTAAATTTAATTAACATTTTATTGCGTAATACAATTTACGCGTAATAATTAATAACCTAAACAAATCTAGATAACTAATCCGGTTTTTAATTTTTAGTCATTGTGTCGCAACTAGAGCTTCCTCAGCCTCCCAAAATTTCTTTAGAAGAGACACGATCCACACGTCTCACCAGAAGGCAAATTTCGAAAAAATCAGCTTCCATATCCAACTCAGACTCAGAATCAGAGGAAGATACAGATAACGAACTGGACGACGACAATGATTGGACTCCTGAAACTGATGATGCGAATGCAGAACCCTCCTCTGAGGATGAAAGAGAAAAGAAAACAGGTTGCACCATCAGCCCCAGCCAGTGTTCGAAGTCTCTCGCCTCCAATTCCGAAAATTGTGTCCCTTGCCCGGTGGCGTTATGCTCCTCCGTGTTCCGCACACACAAGGATAAAGATGTCCACTTGAAGCTTAGTCATGAAGGTGTTGTTCCATATCCGTGCCGCATTTGTGCCAGAAAGTTTAATTGCCAAACATCTCTCGCCTCACATATGGTGATTCGCCACGAAACAGACAAGAAGGAATTCTCCTGTTTCAAATGTGACAAGAGCTTCTGCCTAGAGGAGAATTTGGCGAGACATGTGAAACTGCATGAAGTAGAGGGGATCAAGCCGCTAATTTGCGACGTGTGCGATTCCAGATTCGCAGATAAGAACAGGCTAGAGCGCCATATGGAGACGCATAATACTAAAAAGTTTCGGTGTAAGCATTGCGGGAACGGTTATAAGAATGTAACACGTTTGGAAAGGTATACACTGATTGAGTTTCCATCACACTCACAATTGTCAACTTGATGAATATGATTTATTTTCCAGACATTTAGGTACTCACACTGGCGAAAGACCGCTGAAATGCCCTCATTGTGATGCTACATGGGTAGATAGGACCACCCTACAACGCCACATCTCACGCGCCCACTCAGCCGGTCCAGCTCATATTTGTCACATTTGCGGTAAAGGATTTCATATTCTGCCAGACCTCAAGAAGCACCTTAAACGGCACGATGGGAAACTTCGAGTCATATGCGACACCTGTGGCGACACGTTCGTGGACGTTACAGCATTGCAATCTCACCGCGTTAAAACGCACGGAGATGACCCCGTCATTTGCGATGAATGGTATGGATTTCAAGTAAAATCCGTAAAGTTTAAGCTTACAAATTTACACATCTTCTAGCCCTAAAACTTTTACCTCACTGGAAGGATTAAGACGGCACAAGCAAATTCACAAAGGAATTAAACCACACAAGTGTGAGGTACATATTTACGATTAACAAATTTTAGTATCTAGAAAGTTGCTAGCTTTGTTTTTGAACAATAAGATTGTTATCAAATTAAAAGCTATCATTGATTGAGAAATCCAGTTTATGAATTTGCAATGATTAAGTAATTATAATTTGTTTTATAATGTAATAATTTCGCAAACAAATATGTATGTAAATACATTCGTTTATTCTGTTAATCTGCAGACTTGCGACGCCCGTTTCAACAGGAAGCAAAATCTCGACACCCATAAACTATCCCATACTAAGGAACGATCCTTTTCCTGTCCCCACTGCGAAAAAACCTTCAAGAATAAAAGAAGTTTAACTACTCATGTGAAAGAAATTCACGCCTCCAGCTACGTCGCCCCCAGTCCTCACAAGTGTCCCCAGTGTAGCAGAGAATTCCGCAATAACTCTTTTTTGGAGGCACATATTCGCCAAATCCACACAGGGGAGCGGCCCTTCGTTTGCAACCAGTGTGAAAAGGGGTTTGCTGTCGAACATGCGCTAACTATGCATTTAAAAGGGACCCACGGCATCGTCGTGGAGAAAGGGGGTAGAAGCTAAACTTGATGAAAGATGCGATTGACGAGGAGGAAGGAAACGCTTAAATATTTATTATTTTTATTATAGATTTAGACAATCTAACACTTACATTTATGCACTGTAAACTGAACCTAGAGAATATAATCTGTAATTCTCGTACATAAATAAAAATTCGCCTACAAGTACATTTACCTATGTTTCATGTTTAGCAATGTTATACAAATCATAATATGGGACATATACTGCCAAAGTTAGAGATTTGTGGATACGACTCACCATAGTAAAATTTGTCATTAAGTTACATGATTAATGTTACATGCAAAAATTTAAGAGAAAAACGGCAAAAATTGGATCCGCGGGGGATCGAACCCCGGGCCTTTCACATGCAAAGCGAACGCTCTACCACTGAGCTACGAACCCATTAATATTTGCAGCTGAGCTTCTGCTCATACAAGTAAGAAATCGTCAACTTTGCTTTGCTATTGATAGAGTGAACATAATACGATTTGTTGCATTTCACAATATGCCACAGACGGGAAGTAATATATTGCATGGACATACATTTCGAGTAATGCATGCATCAGATATGCAAATATTTAGCAAATTATAGTGGTTGGTGGGTTTATACTTCACTCCGTGTTAACTTACATACGTCAATGTTGTAACTTAACTATGGCGCAAATTGCAGAGTGAACTGTGTAAATAAATGCACCTTTAGACTTTACCTATGTGAATATTTTAAAGATTTATTGAAAACTCGGAATACTTCATAAATTATCTTGACAGGTGAACCTAAATACGAACGCTGTACAAAAAAATATATGCATCATTTTAAATATTTACGAGAATTTTGACACATGAATTTGTATATATTGAATTAAACTATTTCACGTAATGAATAAAAAGAGCTGAGGTATTCAACTAAAATTAGTGTAGATACGATAGCTGTATACATACATACAAGGCCGAAAGCCCTACACGAAATTGAAAGAGAAATCGATTTTCTGGAAATTAAATTGACCCCAAATTATGAGATTATGAGACATCAAAAATTGAAATGAAATAATTAATTGAATGGGGTGTGGCATATCCCTACATAAATTATTTTTGTAGATATTGGCGCACTACATCCACTATAGCGGCAACAATTTCTCCAGACAAGGGTAGTGAAATTGGCGTCCTGGCTGCAGAACTGTTCAATTGGAAGCAAGTCTTATAAGCTTAAATATAGCAGATTCATCTTATATAAATGATAGCAAGTAAACATATCAAAATTTACCTATTTGCCACACTGATAGTTCCCATATTGTAGTCAAAGGCTCTACTATTATCGCCCACATGGGTGCCGTTAACTCCGACAAAATTTCCGGTACCTGACGATCTACGTGTGGGTGGGGTAGCGACTCTCACATCTCCCTCCACGGATTCAGGTTCATCTGTAGACCGTAGTAAAGTAACAACAGATAAATAAAAATCTCAAAAATTGTATCAAATGAGTGTTATGAGTTTTACCTATTTCCCGTTGGCTATTTTGTGGAGCAACACGAAGGTCATAAAGTTTTTGCTCCAGTAGCTCTGTAATGAATAGTCTATCTTGTAAGGCTAGTTTCTTCGTTGCAATTTTCTCCTTAGATGTTAGAATTAATTCCATTGATTTTCGAAGCAATTCTTCTTCTTCCCGAATTTCGTCAAGTAGAACAACCTGTTGGTCCTTCATTTCTTTTAATATGCCTAAAATACAATGCAGAAGTATAACAAATTACTTCAATTAATAATTTTTTGCTGAAATGAGGACATTATCCTAATATTTATCACTTACGTTCGAAGCCGGCCTTTTTTTGCGGGGATGCCATTTTTATTATGTTTTTAAGTTATAATTGTTTAATTAAATATATGTCTTCGCTCTGACGCTGGCACCAAACGGGTAAATGTTTAAAGAAATCGTTACTGGGATAATTTTATTTTTGTACCTTAGACCCTTCTAATAAATAGTAGCAAGGTTTGTTTTCCTTTCTTTTAAGCATCCTTAGCGTGCATGAAAGGATCTCTTAAAGTAGGACTACCTGTGAAAATGTCCGTGCCTTTTCAACATGACTAAACCATTGTACATATTTAGGTATGTGAATTATTATACATTCATGTGTATGTATATAAATATGTACGAATCTAAAACATACTTCTTCCTGAACTGGTTCGCCTTTTCCTATTTCAAACTGGTCTTACGAGCAGTATAGATAAGTAGATAGTTGAGTTATGTAGATGTTTTAAATATGCATATAAATACATACCACATAACCTAACAAACCTATTTGTATTTATACTTAAGATTAGGCAATACATGCATAAATAATCGTATACGATTATGATACTCAAAACTTACTGCATATACTGCAAATATCGGCCATATATGCCCTATATTTATTTATTGAATGAAGTAGCACATATCAAAATTTCTTCTTATTACATTTTAATTACAAATGTTTTATAGGAGAATTGTACCATATTTTGGCCTTTCCAAAAATATACCACCGCCGTAAATATGCTGATAAATGAGTTTAAATACTTTTTATTCCAAATCTCATTGTATTTTCACTATTTCATAAATCATTATTACTCAAGCTGCCACTCAATTCCAAACCCGTAATCAGTATTTTCATCATCCGTCTGAAAAACGAGGGCAATTGACTCTCCGACAGCTCTGTTCAAAATATAGCTGATGGGTTGCACTATAACGCCGCAAATTCTGAAAAGAAAATTCCAGGAATATTAAAATAACGCGAGATATTTTACTTTAATGCAAACGCTCACTGTTCAGAAAATATAAATCCTTCCAATGGATTAAATAACAAAACATTAATCCCGTCTCCGTTGCACTGATCGTTCCAATCTTCTATGGAAGTGAAGAAGATCGTTACGTTGGCACGGGATCCGGATTGTCCTGAAAAAGCGAAAGTCGCTGTCTCCGAATTGTTGTAGGGTACCATTTCTCCGGATTCTCCCATTTCCGGGTATCGAAGTGTGCCTGCAACTGATTGCAATTCTGTGTGGCTAAACCTGCGACGTACAGAGTATGAAAACCCAGCTCCTTGAAAATCCAGGTTGAAACCAGATTCTATGGATTTTTAAATTGGCACAAATTAAAAAAAATTTAATTATACATGGTTTTCTTAAATCCTTACTTACCCGGAGTCGTCTGTGTGTTACCATCCGCCACATACGTGACCATCAATAGAGGTCCGGTGACCACAAAGCTAGGCCCCACAGGTTCTTCTGACCTAGTAAATTTATAATTCTGTTCAACCAACCCTGTCCAAGAGTCGATCGTGGTCACGAAAACGGCATCACCCGGTGGGATGTTCAGTTTTTCAAATGAGAGTGAAACACTGCTCATGGAATTGGCACGGATGGTCCAAGTACAAGTGTGGTTTCGGTTCGAAGAACTATTAAACGTTACCCGACCCGATGACCCGACCAATATTCCACCACAAGTGTCATCTGGAAATTAGTTAGTGATGACAAATGTCACAATTTTATCAAAATTATGATGATCCCGTAATTCCTTACATACCTTGACCAACCCATGTCGAATTGTCCAACTGTTCAGGTTCTGTTGAGGAGGGTCATTGTTAATTAATTTAAAATCCATTACGAATTAAATACAACCAATTACCCATAGAGGACACAATCCAGTCGTGAAATTGGGAAAGCTCAGCAAATCTTTGGGGTCTTGTGATATCGCCGCAATAAATATCGTTCGCCACGCCGCATAGGGCATAATCTCCTTCTGCGTCGTAACAAACTGCAGGATCCCCACCATCATGCTGACATCATAATTAATTAAAAAGCTTGTTACGACTTTCATACTCTAATCACTTAGGAAATAAAGGTTTCTTACCACGCAGAGGGCATACCCTTCCCACGCCACGGCACAAAAGTCCGTCTCTTCAAATGTAATCGTGCCATCTAGACAGGCATGCGAATCGTATGCAGCTTTACATTCTGCGTCTGAGATTGTGGGTAATTGCAACTTGTGCATAATTTCGGCTGGTTCTATTCCACCAAATTCTGAGGTGAGGCCCCATCCAGCGACTTGGATGAGGGTCATGTTTTCTGTTGTTTTCGACAGATATAAAAAACATGCTTTATTACATACTAGTTAATTGCTAATGTCTGACTAACCGATAATTTCAAACTGTGGAGATACTAAAGCAATCGGTTGCACAAATTGGTTAGTTTCGAATGGTGGGGTGACTTGAATTAAGGCAATGTTATCCGTGCTGTCGCAAGTTTCGTCGCTAAAACCATGATAAAATATTATTGTGGAGTTGAGTTGATGGCAATAAAGTTGATTTTTCTTACAGAATGACAAAATCTGGATGCATCACAATTCGTGAGACTCGTCGCCGTTGTTCCGTCCCCTCTTCGAGAGTAAGGTTGTGCTCCCCAGCGGTGAGTTCGTAAGAGGTGTGTTTCTCGTCAGTACATGAGGCAGCGGTGACGACCCAGTCGGGACTTATCAAAGCCCCAACCGCCCATGGGCGGAGGTGGATATTAGGACGACATACGGTAGTTCCCCTGTAACGAAGTGTGCGAATAAGTAATTTAGTAAATCAGGTTAGGAATGTAATCAATTAAACTTTGTGTACATATTTATGCATGATGCTACACCAAAAATAATAATATTTATTGAGTTTAATAAAAAAGTAGGAGAAATACCTTTATTAACAGGCACGCCGCCAATGATTTTGCCTTCTACAATATTTGGGATGTAAATTAAAAGGTCATGATGTACTTAATTATACATAGAATAAAATAAAGTAATTAGCTGAAAATGGGGTGTATGTATTTATGTATACCATTACGACTTCCAGGGATGGACAGAGCATCACTCTGGGATAAAAGTGAGATCAATAAGGCGAGCAGAAAACGTCTCATTTTGGCTTATTATTTAGCAAGTCGTTAATATTATGCAGGCAGACTGACCTGGCAGAATGGTGGGTGGGTATGTTCTTATATGTGTTGGACAATTTTAATAGACTAAAATTGGCTCATGTAAAAGCAGTGGTTGGTTTATCTTATCGATGTACCTGTTGCTCTGACACGTGTAGTTATCATTGTTGGGCGAATTAATTAAAACATAATTGAAACAATTGACGATAAGTGTTTTCACCGCTTGACACAATTAGTCCATTATGCTATGCATCATAGTGAGTCATGGTCAGTTTTTGCGCAAACATATTCAAGTGTGTATCTATTTTACTGGAGCTTGTAAGGATAAGATTGATGTTGGGTAAGCAAGCCAACTAAATTTCGTACGTAATGAATGAATCATAATTTCAGTATAGGTAGTTTTATCGGTGGAACATAGTTATTTCTATTTGTTCATTGCCGACAGGGCAACGGTGTAAATGTCCTGCATATGTGGAACTTATTTATCTTTATGAAGTACATATATGCATACATACGTCAAAGTTATGATACCGTTTTCCAAGATAACAAGACGTCATTAATTTGATAGCAATTTAAAGAGTTATAGTTAATTAATAATTGAAGTATTTTCATTCGAATTGTCTAGGTGACTAATGATATGTAGGGATTTTTTTTAAAAATAATTTGACATTTGCCAAAAGTAAAGTTTATTTACTGATTCGAAAAAAAATATGTAGGAATGTATGCACATATGTACATACATATGTGTGTATGCAGTGAAAAAGACGTGAAAGGGCCAATCGGACCACAAATCAAAATATGCAGTGAAACAGCCTTTCTTTTCACAAGACGAGTTGTTACATATTCATTTAATATTAAAAATTCTAATCGTTAGAGTTATGTTATTCATAGAATTATTTAATTATGCACAAATGTCGTAATGTACTTACATATCCCCAAATTTCACAAAATGCAGTATTCGCATCTTATGTTAACGGAGTTTATTTATTGCTTCTGAAAATTTTAGATTAATTACGTGTGAGTTTACACATCGCCATCACAAATGTGATGCAAGTGCATCTTCAACTTTTGGATACGATTATTTGGATAATTTTTGAATAGTAATAGATATATATCCAAAAATTTAAAACGCCGAACTACAATTTCATAGCCGTAAATTGCATTTAAATTTTCGGCTTGTACACGAAAGCCATTTATCATATAACCCACATATGTATTTAGAATTAAAATACTAGTCTTCTATTATTTAAGAGGAAAAATAAAATTAGTCAGTTATTGGAATTTAAATAATCTGCATTCTGAAACAATGGCCGAAATTGTGTGCATACAGACAAGTACATATGTCTATATGTATGTATGTACATACATATAAAATTTACATCTATAGTCCATTGACCTGGTATCAATGGCTAAAAGTGTAAAAATCGGTTGATATATAATTGATGGCATGTAAAAGCTTCCCACTTATGTTGAAATAAAAAGTATAACTAAAGAAATACGTACATACATAGGTACATATTAGGATTTCCATAAATAGCTCCCCAGCGTGGGTGGACTAAAACTAACCCTTCCTTCAGTCTCACCAGGGTCCAGTCGCGTCTTGCACATTCCATTACACGCCTTTCCACTAAAAAATAAAATTTCTTCCAAATAACTTTACAAAAAATAAGCAGGATAGAACTATCACTGTGTTATCGACTAATTAACTTATCATTGCATAAAGCAATATGGAAACCCATGTGGGACAATTCGTATGCAGGAAAGCAAAAGCAGGAGCTTTGGCCAAATTGCGTAATATGAGACTACAAAATGGGGATAAAAATGTGGACGAGATTCCCATGGAACTGGAAGTCATGGAATATCCAATAGTGGACGACACATTAAAACATGAGAGTCAGACAACCCGTGCAAAGACTTGCGTAAGAAACAACATTAGTTTTAACTAGATAGACACAATTTTTTACATCGGTATTAACTTTATAAGATAAAGTCTTCAGTTTCACATTCAAATATACTTTTCAATTTTTAACAGAATTTAGTCCCACGATTAAGAGTTACACCCTTGAAACATAAAAACCTAAAAATTCAAAATGAGCCCAACGTCGTAAACCCATTCTCAAATCGTGCAAATGGACAACAGTTGACTGAGACAAAATTCATTTACAGGTAACAAAACGCAGAAAATGTAAAAATCGAAGTATGATAATTCAAAAATTAATTGTAATTTAAAAATCCTGCTTAAATTTACGCAGCTCACATGTAACGGAAGATCATAGTTTTCCCATTTTTGACATAAAATTTCATCAGAATTTGGCCGACAAAAATATTTTTGCCACCGTTGGACGCAACCGAGTAACCATTTACGAATGCACAAATAAAGGGAGCAACAAGAATATGGTTCCCTTGCTAGCATACGAAGATCCGGAAGTAAGTTAAAATAAATCATTCAGAACAGTTAAATAATATTAGGAATAAACTATTTCCAAACTTAATTATGTAGCCAAACGAAACATTTTACTCGTGCGACTGGTCAGAAAATTCTGCAGGCAGGCCCGTCCTCGCGGCGGGGGGAAAGATGGGTATAATTCGTATCTTTGAACCCCCAAAGGAAAAATGTGTTCGAGAATTTGGGGCACATGGATGTCCTTTAAATCACGTTCAATTTCATCCCAAAAACCCTAATTTGCTTCTCTCCGCGTCTAAAGTATGTACATACATCTTTTACCATTTGTACTGTATACCTAATTTTAAATTTCAAAGTAAATATTGCATAATGGAGAAAATTATAAAACATATAAACTTTTAATGGTAGGACTACTCACTCCGTTTGTGGAATATTGAGACGGGTTATCTCATTGTGATTTTTGGAGGGGACGAAGGTCATCGGGCAGAAGTTCTTGGCGCCGATATTGACAGAACGGGAAGTCGAATCGTGTCCTGTGGGATGGATCATTCTTTGAAAGTGTGGAGTCTGACGGACGCAAAAATTCAGGACGCGATCCAGCTTTCGTATCGATACAAGAGGAATTCCAACAAGTATTTTAATGAAGATAATTTGGAGAAAATGTTTGCAAATGTTTCCTACTTTGATCTATTTTTCTCAATTGTAGACCATTTCCAACCGTGCTGCAAAACTTCCCAGTCTTTTCAACGCGAGATGTTCATTCGAATTACGTTGACTGCGCCAAGTGGTTTGGAGAATTGGTTTTTTCAAAGGTGAGTCCATGTTTAATTAGTACACAAATTTGTATCCTCAGTAATTATGTGCGTATTTATGCATTTTGTACACAGTCCTGCGACAACGATGTGATTTGCTGGAAAGCTGGAAACGTATCGCAATCATGGGCTGAAATCGAGTCGAAAATTTGCGAAGAAAGCTCGTAAGCGTTTTGCACATACATAATTCACTAATTTGAGAATGTTTTAATAATTTCATATTTTAAATCCAGAATCATAAAACGACTGGATGTCTCAGATTGCGACGTTTGGTTCATTCGATTCTCGTTTGACCCGATGATGAAAACTCTCGCACTTGGTAACGAGGTTGGGAAAATATTTATCTTCGACGTCTCGGTGGCGGATCCTCTAAGTTTGATGCAAGGGACGGTCTTATCCCATCCTAGTTGTGATTCGACCATTCGCCAGACCGCATTTTCGAGGGATGGGTCAACTCTGATTTGTGTGTGCGATGATGCCACGATTTGGCGATGGGATATAAATGAGAAACGTAATGATAAGAAAGAAGAATAAGATTGAGTAATATTTGCATATATTTAAATAAATACTAGTGGAAAATCCAAAAAAATAGTCGAAACCTTAGGTTACAAAAGGATTGTTTTTTGTGAATGTATCATAAAGATTCTTTTGCATTTTAGACTGCTATGTATGTGGTTCCAGGGGTTATAATAGGTACATACAAATTTCTAATGGGTAGGGTATACAAAGCTGTTTCATAGATATGAATGTTTGTAATAATGTCACAATGATTTTCTTAATTTAATATGACTAAAGATAAAGTGTGCATTTGTCTATATATAGTGTTAAGTTCGTAATGAAGATAGTTTTACCAATTTATGACGCTTGTGTAATTTTCTGTGTAATCCCCCATTCTAAATTGTATTGTTTTTATAAACCGTTTCAATCTGCACACCTCAAACGATTATTTATTATGGTCAGACAGTATGTATGATCTTCCATGAATTCGACGTACAGAAACATATGTACAGTGTACATTGTACACTAAGGATTCTTGAATACCATGGACCTTTTCATATGGTTCAAGACCACTTGCTCTTAAAATATTAATAGCAATTTGTAATCTAGCCCGACAGCCATATGTATATGCCTACATATATACATATGTACATATCTAGTAGGACAAATTGGGAATAGAGTGCCCCAAACTTTACTCTTTTTGCTAATAACGAGAGAAAGTGGATTTGCAATCTGTGGAATATGTACATGCATGCTTGTGACTGCTGGGAAGTGATAATTCGCCGGAGAGGAGACAACGCAGTAATCGCAGTAATCTACAATCCACGGAGATTGCAAGTAAAATGTATGTACATATAACACCGGCGGATATGTTCGTACTAAACTAAGGACACGTAAGTAGACGTTAGTGTTCATTGCACCGTGTTTTATCTTTTTTATCCGTAAGAGGAACGAATATTTACGTTGTTGATATGAAATCGTTGAAATAGTCGACTCATTAACACAGACATAATCAAATGTATGTATGCTTTCACCAAAAATAAAATATAAAAAACCGATGCTTTATGTATGAACCCTACACCTTCATATTTACAGCGCAGTATTACGTATGGAATGGAATAGGATATAATCCTTGGTCAAATATTTACTCTCTTCACATCCGAAATTTTCGCTTCCTCTCCCAAATCAGTTTCAGTATGATTATATACACCTCTGTACCTATTCACTATTCATATATTTATATAATATTGTCCGACACTTGTCTATACGTCGGCAGAAATAAAGTGTTAAGTACGTTCATGTATTTTCTCCATTGCGCCAAAATTCTGCAATTATTTGGCTGCTAAAAAATATCTCTCTCCAACCAGATAAAAATGAACGTATGCGTGTCGGTCCTGACACTAGTTTTCACCACATCAGGAGTTTTCTGCTGTCAAAGCAACGTTGGAATAAATTCTGGCCTGAAACTTGGTGATGGAAAAATTGTGAAAGTGACTGTCAAAGAACTTTCGACTTCTTCAAACCAAGCAGCCTTCAAACTCGGAGATTCCATCGCAACCGGAAATTTGACAAATATAATGGAAACCGTTCACAATATGCCGAAACAAATTTACGCCCTAGCGAATAAAACCGTTGCCAAGATAGACTCGCCAGATTTTTTTGACGTTGGTGTACGAGCCTCAATTCATCTCCGTAATGGGGTCGGGATTCTATTAAGGAATTGGAGGTTGGCCTTAAACATGACAGATTTACTGGTTCGTTTCATATATTTGTATTATCTTACATACGTTAATTTACATAATTGTTTAGCTTAATTTAGTACAATTTTTACAGAATTTTGAACCAGAAATTATTCAAAAATTGGCCGAAGCTCTGGAAAAGATTAGTATGAAATTGGAAACCCAGCTAAAAATCACGGATCACGGGAAATATAGCGAGAACCATATAATCGTCGAAATGCGTCAAAATTCAGAAACTTTGTCACAAGAAATACTCACCGTTTTGGCATATTGCAGCATAAAAGTGGGCACTAGTTTGGAAATGGAAATTGAAAATAGGAAACAAGTAGTCAACGAATTGAAGGACACAGTGGCCCACGCGGGGGATCGGATCAGTACACAATTGGATTCAGGGGACTTGGCCATGCTGTCAAAAGAGGATAAAATTCATATTAGAGATGTCACTGAAGTGTTACTGACCGGGTGGAATGTTGCCATTACATCGACAGGTTTGCAGGTTGTTGGCAGTAAATGTGCATACATATTTAAGTTTTTAGGCAAAAATAATTAGTAAATACAATGTAATTTTTTTGCACCTATCTATTTATAGAGTGAGACCATTGTGGCAACAAGAAATTTGGAAGAAGCCCTTACCAAGATACAAAGCCGGGTGGATCTCTATGATGAATATGAAGCGGATATTAGTAACGGATCACGAAGATTTCGACATCTTTCTATCCATAATAATTTGTGCCATGTTTATTATCATGATTTTATTTGTTGTCGTCATAAATGTAAAATATTTTCGAGTGTTGGTTGGTGGGTGGATACCAATTCGACACACGGAAAAGGTGTCAATGAAGAAGGAGGATGTTGCAGATGATGATGGTGAAGATATGGCAGGAAAACGATTAAAAATAAGAGGACAAGAAGGAGATTGAGGAAAGTTGAAGTTGGTGATTTAACGTCTTTTTCTGCTTGTACCTACATAAATAGGTGAACGTTAAGGTAACGGACATGAAAATGTTCAAGTTCGACATACTTATTTTTCATTAGTTTGTACAGGTTGAAGTAAATACAAGAGAAAATTGTTACTATATCTTTTTGTGTTTTAGCTTATTCTATGCAAAGTCAATGTAAATATGTATATATGCAAATATTGGAAAAAGAGAGATGGGTTAAATGTATGACAAGTTAAAATGATGCTTTTTTTATTATGCAATGATTTATCGGTTTTCTGTTTCATTCGGATTCTTAGAATATAGTTGCATATAAATATGTATGTTGAATACATACATTAAATTCGGCACATGAGTTGACTAACTAGCCCTAGATGACCAATAAGGAATTAGGACTGCCAACTGCGTGTTTTATGACTTAACTAAAAAAAATGTTCTCAGATTTTAGTTAAATTTCCTAATCAATAAGTAATCAACAAGATCTATTTTAGTAACACAAATTAAATATGTGCATACGAAATGTTCAGCACTTACCCTTGGAGTAGAGCTAAACTCGAGTGAGATAATCAAATACAATCCTTTTCCACAGTTGATAAACTAATCAAAAACTTGATCATCTACCAAATAACCTTTTCATATTGGTACAACTTTTTAAAATGATGCTACGAAAATACAATGTGTTCTTCCAGCAAACAAGTTTCCTGCTTATGTGTGTGTCACTCATCACGAGCACGTTACATAAATTTGTTATGAACAAAATATTATTCTTTTAATAACGATACAATATTTGCATGTGACACTTTCAACGCACTTTTCTCGTCCTACCGAGCAAACACACAAAGTCCCATGTCATAAGCCTGAACAAATTGACTTATGCATGCATACATATCCCAGTCCAAAAGTTGTCCTGTTGAACTTTCGTCGTTTAAAGCTCGTAATCACACAATATCAATACAAGCATTATGCCATTGATGCGTTTTGAGCTGCACACAATTAACACGGGACAGAACATATCGCACCAAGATTATGTATGTACTTCATTCAACTTAGCATATTTACTCTCAATTGTCCAGTCTGTTTGTTAATGAATCAGTAAAGTGTGGCCAAGGCATGGGAAAAAATATAAAAAACACAATCCCCACACAGCTTACACTTGTCAGATAAAGTGACACAGTCAGTGGCTGCGGTATCACGGGGACGATGGATGGATGGGCAATGGACATCAAAGCTGAATATATGACTGTCCTATCTTTCCAAAGCTCCTGCCCTTCCCCAATCGTATTGTCCCCACTGTGTCCCCCAAGTTCCGCAGCTCCTGGACAAGTGAAACAATAAAAATGTTTAATCGCTTCAGTAAAGAGTAATAAATCCGTGATAACAGTAAAGCCACTGGTCAGACGGGAGCACACATTTAATTCTCAATCGGTCACATGCTTTCTCATTTCGAGTGGACGACGAGCCAAATTATTAATAATTACGACGACGCCACACGCGCACATGCTTCTCACAATTTTAGGGGAAACATTAATTTTTAAAATTCGTTAAGAAACTATAGCGTAGGATAAAATGGGGAAGGAAAACGTCTCCAGACGAGACGCTTCCTCCAAAAAGGGAGGCTGGCTATCCGTCTGCAAAACCTTATCCGTCGAACCGGCCGGATTTCTCCTTATCTGTTCCGCCGTCGTGAGCCATTTAATATTTCAAAATATTGTAATGGAAACTGCATGTCGGAACGATCTAGGCTACGAGGCAGAAACTTGTAAAGAAATTATTACCAAAGTGTAAGTGAAAGTTGGACGCTTTTGTGTACCATATTTTAAGGACATTAAATTACAAAATTTGTCTCTCTTTCACACAGCAACGCTACATACAAAACTCAGGAACGTGAAATCCAAAAAGTCGTCGCGGGTGTACAGGCAATGATGTCGGTCATATTCGGCTGCATAACTGTACTCGTCGTACTATTTATTGGACCGTGGAGCGACGCAAATGGGAGGAAAATGCCCCTCCTCATGTCCTGCGTGGGCATCTTCTCGTACTCCGGATTGATGCTGCTCGGCTACTTTCTCCTCGGCAAGGTCAAGCTGACCGCGATGGCGTTGACGCTTATGGTCGTCGGACCGATCACGATTACCGGGGGTGGGGCCGTTTTCGCAATGTCAGCCTACAGCTATATTGCTGACACGACGAGCGAAAAGAGCAGGACGTTGAGAACGGGGGTCCTCAGCGCGTCGGTGCGGTCAGGGACCCCGATCGGGTTCGCGATAGGGGGTGGTCTGACCAGATTTGGAGTTGGGACGGTCACAAGTCTCTTTGTGGCGATGGGGTTGGCAATGATTTCGTTTGTCATCATGCTGCTAACAGTGAAGAATACGGCGCCTAAAAAGATTGGGGTGGACGAAGTGGATGAAGGGGACGAATTCGAGGATGGGGTAAAAGTGGCAAAGAAGCCGAAGAAAAAAAGGTCGGCGTGGATCAGATACAACCCGTTGACAAAGTTGTGGCAAGCGTTAGCAATTTTGTGGAAGAAGAGGAAGGACCGATTCGGGTTCTGGTTGTTGATTGTGGCACACATGAGTTATGCCGCGCCGGGATCGGGTATGCAAAATAGTGCTAAATTTCAGTTTCTTAGGGTTGAGGATAAGTAATCAGTACGTATTTTGCAGGTGAGTACTCGATGCTTTATCTCTTCGTGAGGGAGAGGTTGCAGTGGAACGTGAGTGATTACGGGTTCTTCTCAATGTACAATTGGTTGATGAGTGCGGCAGGTAGATATGCATGCAATAATGACCTTATCTAATCTTATGGTAATCACATTGCGGATTATTTTTATATTTGATGACTTGACATCTAGGCGTATTCTTATCGATGTTCATCCTCAGTAGAAAGTTAAAGATATCCGACCCTATCGTCGGACTTGTCGCAGGCCTTAGCCAAATCGGTGGTTCTACGATGTATGCCTTTGCAGCTACAGCGTTGGCCATGTATATGGGTATGAAACAGATAAAAGCAGACCCAAATATTGAATACTTGATGAGGTTGATCCTATTTACATAATCATTTTCAACCTAAATTTGTATCCAGCTTCTGCCACCGACTTGATGAACGGAACGATTGGTGTCGTCGTGAGGTCCATGCTGTCCAAAACCGTGGCTCCGGACGAGATTGGGAAGCTTTTCGCACTTTTAGGCGTGCTCGAAAGTCTAATTCCAATCGGGATGGTGCCCACGTATGCGTTGCTGTACAAAAACACGGTCACCGTCTTTGCGGGGGCATTCTTCTTGCTATCAGCAGCACTCACGATACCGGCAGAGATTATTTTTATGTAAGATGACATGTAACTTTCTAACTCAACCACGTGACTAATTTCAATAATTTTTTCTAGTTATTTTATCTGCACGAAACGCAACATGTCTCCGAAGAAGGAGGAGCACGCTCTCGACGGTGAACTTGGGCCGAGCGGAAAGCCCCTCGTAGTGCACAAGGGTGCGTTAGAAGATCGAGTCAATAATGAATTAGTAAAATTAATGCCGCAGGAAATATATTCCAGTAAGGACTGCATGGTCGGCGTTTTTGAAGCCTGAAGGGTAACTCGTCGTTTGGGCAAGTGGTCGAAAATAATACTTGTCGAGAGTATTTTTTTAATAAAATACGATTCTAAATAAATTATAATTTTATAAAATAACATTTACATGAGAACTCTCAGCAAGAATGCCAAACCCCCTGTTCCAGGCCTTATGCATTCTTATTGCTCTACATCTTCTATATGAATGTATGTTCAATGGTGGATTGTACGCTGTACCCATGTAGGTTTTTTGAACATAACTAAAAAATTCATCCAGTTCGAATTTAGTTTGACCCTTAAAACTAAACGATACTTTCAATTCTCGGAATGCAACTCTTAAATTATCGGGCTGAACAAATGCGAGACCGAATATTTTTTATTAATAATGATAGGGTGCCTCATTGAAATAAATCAAATCAAATCAAATAACGCCATTGTAACGTCTTGGTCGTACTGGTTCTTTAAATTGGGTGTCAAATGTCTAAACAACGCTTGAGTATAGTGAAAATGACACCCGTGAAGTACAGCGTCTGGAAACGTGTCGTGTACAGCTTTTATCTCGTTCGAAATCCATCACAACAGCTTATCTTCAAATTTAAGTTTCTCTTTGCTGCGTTACATTAATTCATAACATTAATTTGACATTTTTAATGTAAAATAGAAGGGTAAAAAGAACAAAACAATCCTCCCAACTACTGCTGTATAGTGTTTTAAGTATTTTGGAATGTCCGCAGCGTATACCCGTCACACGATGCACATGAATTGTGCATACTTGTGAACTCATTATATAGGTAAAATCAGTAAAAATGTTACACGAAATTCGACCAGTTTCATGCCACCTAAATTCGACGACTTGCCTTTCTGACGAGTTTTCCATTCGACTAGTTGATTTCGACGACTTACCTTTTCGACGACATAGGATTCGACAAGTAACCCGTATCCCTAAGGAATAGGTAAAATGGTGAAAGTCAATGTTTATTTGGTGAACAAATTTATTTGGAATGTACGTTTTTCCGTGTCGGAGTGAAATCTTTTTTTCTTTCGCCAGCCATACTAGCGCCGCTTTCCACAGCACCAATTTGGTGCACAAGCGTGGTTACAACAGCAGCGCCCGTGTCGCTTATGCCGGAGAATTGCTTGATCCAAAAAATTGAACCCTTCAATACTCTTTCCAGGATCTAAATACCCTATTTCTCCTGTAGAAATGACAAAATAATTATGTGGCTTTACTTACTATATACATTAATATCAATAATCGCTAAGGGTATGTACCATCTGGGGCAGCGTCGACTTGAAAATTCGTGACGGCAGCAACCGTGATCGCCAAAAAGAGCAAGATGGAGAATGGAGACATGACGTCCACAGGAAAATATTTATATCGGTTTCGTTGTCTTATGACAGACTTTGTGTGGATGAGTAGGGAACTTGCCAAACATGCAATTTATACCCAGCTCTGTTACATAATCAATTAAATTGAGGAGCATTGTTGATTAATTAATTGCGACAACAGTTTTTAATCTTAATTCGCAATTTGAAACTCAAGGTAATTTTGCTTTGTGTATGTAAAAGCCAGGGCCGTAGGAGCACTGGTTTTAGGTGGAGAGCACTCTCCAGGCCGGACGGCCCGAAGGGCCGTACCGGCCGGGTGATACAGACACTAGATATAATTGACCCTCCGAAGTACATGTATATGTAACTTATACATAACGTTCCAAACCAACGCTTACATAGTTATAAATTGAATCTTGATTTTGTTCACTTCTTAAAAATTTCAATGATGTCAGAATATGATACAATATTCAAATTTAAGCCTTCTGGGACGATTTCTGTAAATCGGTTGAAGTAGCATAAGATAAATAGTCCTGCAGTTGAAAAATTTTCAAGTTTGAGTTAATAACCCTGTCAAACAATTTTTCATATGTAATTGAAGAGGCGTGACACTATCAATCGAGCATAAATAAGTTCATCATTCTATCTCTGTCGACCCACTCACCCACTCATGCAAAATTTCAGTCTCCCACGACTATTTCGAATATTTTGCAGTAAATACTTAACCCATAGCACTAAATACATGATCCCTACTTCACCAAGTATTTTTTCGTCTAACCGAGCTTGAAAATCTTTTATAACAATGGCCATGTACATATTATTATTTAATTTTGTCATGATCCATGAATGCGTTCTAACATTTCTGAGCGAAAAACTGAATTGCATGCTATACATTTTTCTAAATAGGAGCTTTAATGCACGAAAGTGGGGTGTTACAATTGCTAATACATATCTATCAAAAAATAGACAAAGAGAAATTGGATTCTGGTTTCAAATATAACCAAAATTGTCTTAATGTACATAACTTATTCGATAATTTCTGTCTCGCGAAATTTGCCAATCAAGTCTGATCTCTGCAGCACCCAAAATCGGGAGATTTTGAAAACTGGTTTGTAATTGAGTTTTTGGCAAATTTAAGTAACCTGGTTTTCCATTTTGGAAACAGGGTTCTTAAGCCGTTTTTGAAAAGCCATGTAAAAAAAGTTTGTCAATATAGACTGTATTGTACAGTAACAAGCTATAATTGAATTTAAAATTAAAATTAAATATGAACTTGAGATTTTCGGAATTCTAAATTTGTGTATATCAGAAATTAAAAATATTTGTGATTAGATAAAGATTAGATATTTAGATTTAGATAGATTTGTGATTAGATATTGTGATTAGATAGGTGCAGTTCTTACAAAAATATAGATTTAACCTATTAGGAAAATCCTGAATCGATTTACGAATCCCGATTTACGAATTTGCAAGCACTTTGGAACGCTTAAAATAATGACTGGAAGAAATACGCTTGTGAAAAGTCATTGGAAGTTTTTTTATCGGGTAAAAATCGATGCAATGTTGAAGTTAAGAACGAGGACCGTCATACGGAATAAGTTTTGCCTTAAAAAATTCCGCCCGTACGGTAAAAAATTGCCAAACCCTTCCAGGAATAAATGAGACACCCAATGTATTTGTGACCATAGCCGTAGATAAGCAATAAGCGACAGAAATCCGCTGTATCAATTTTAGCAATTTTGCACATAAAAGGCCGGACGGGAATTTGCTCCCCAGGCCGGACCAAGGACAGAAACGGCACTGGTAAAAGCACAAAATCCTTCATTTGATAAGTTTTCGACGCAGCATTCAATGGGATACTTAACGAGGAATTTTTGTGTTGTTTTAACTGCTTTGAATTCAATGGCACCAAAAACTTCCTCAATTCAATTAAACAATAAACCATGGTTGTACTTAAAACTTTATAATGATTACATAACGACATTTTTCAAAGGATTTCACCAATTAACCTTCTACCCAAACGCAATATGTACATAAGTCATGCTGACCAATAGAACAATAAAATGCTGTATATCTAATGTGTAATACAACTTGTAAAATGCTGAATTCATTATGAAGTGGCCGTGTTAATTTTTGGTGGGACGTGGTGACGACGTACTACCCATCGTCATCGAGTAATTTGGTAAAAAAAAATCCGTGATGACTTACAGGATGATTCGGTTAATCAAGGTGTATTTCAAAGTAGGAGTGAAGGCGTTGGATAGCGTCTTGCTCCGTCGAAACTTCATACTTATGGAAGTAACTGGACATGAATTTTCCTAATTTTAATATAATTAGAATAAATGGATTTCATACAAAAATTGTGCACGCGTTCTGTTATGTTCCCACGTACTGCAATTGCTAAAATATGTAGCTGCATGCAAAAATAAAATACCTTAAAGAATTCTATCAAGCTATTTCATTACTTTCGTTTCTTGGCTTTCTCAGGACACAAGTACAAACTGTATACACGAGTATAATGTCAAATTATGAATTACTTATTTATTTACATGCATGCAAGCAATTGCAATTTTATATGAAAAATTCCCTACTGCACGAGTCTAAAACACTCGAGACAGATCATGCCGTCTTCCTTCATTATAGAAAATTTATTAAAATCTAAAATATCTGTAAAAATTATGTTGCATAATTTGCTTATTATTCTCTAACATATTTAACATAGATCTAAATCTTAATCTATATAAACTACATCTACTTTTTCTTCTTCTGTATTAAATAGTTTTTTGTGATATTTTTGCATATGCTTCTCCAGCGAACGGCGATATTTAAAAATCTCTCCACAAACTTGACATCTTCTCTCACGGTCAAAAACTTCTGGGTGTGCCATTTGAATGTGTCGCCTTAAAGCCGCATCACTTTTGAACTTTATTCCACAATGTAAGCACTGGAAATTATAGCTGAGGCAACTACAGAACAATAAGATTGAATTAGCATCGCACATTTTTTTTACTGTTAAATTACTTAGTTCGAATTTCTAACATCTTGCTCATTGTATGCGCGCGAAGGTTATATATGTGCTTGTATTCACGACCACAATTCGCACAGTGTAGGTCAACATCATCCCCCCGAATGTTAGAATGAGCTGCGACATGGCGATGGTAAAATGTAAACGAGCGACAAACCCTGTGACAGATGTGACATGTGTAAATATTTGTGGTGTTGAAGCCATGAACAGGTGTGCCACTTGTGTCGGTCAGAGAAGGTGTCCTGTTATCTCGGTTTCTGTAAAAATCAAACAACAATTAAAATTATCTACACAACTAAAATTCACAACTGGTTAAAAATTTCATAATTGACAGACTCCAAATTTTGAGGACTTGGTTGTTTTCCATCATCGTCGGTTCCTAAGTTTTCAGCATCCATTTCCTCACTATTAACCACATTCGTTCTGCTTGCTTCACAAGAATGAGAATGTATCTTCAAATTACTGGCATATTTAAACTGCTGACCGCAATGTAAGCAGGAAAATGGTTTCTCCGTAGTGTGAGACTTGATGTGAGAAATTAGCGAGTGTCGAATAGAGAAGATCCGTTTGCATCCGGGATATGTACAGGCAAACAACACACGGTTGGACGGACTTCGACATTTCGGGACCGGGTTACAATCCCGCCTGTATGTACAAATAACATTTATTTCACATAAAGTACATGTGGCAATTAAGTGGGTAGATACACACTTTCTACGTTGATGGTTTCTGAAGGTGTCTCTACTTTTGAAAGTAGATCCACATCGGTCGCAGGAAAACTGTGACTTGGAGTTATTTTCACTACTAGTTTGTTGACCTAGGGTTTGGATTAACCTGGGATTTGCTTCTTTATTTGTGACGATTTCAGTACTTGTGGATGGCGCTATGCAACTGCAACATTGGAACAAAGTAAACAAATGTAATTCTGTACTACATTCATTATCACTTAATTACCTGTTTCTATCTAGATGTGCATTCAGAAATCCAAGTGTTGTAAGTTTGACTCCACATTTTGGGCAGCGGTAGCGGAACTTGGCACAGAAATGGTGGAAAGTTAAGTAAAACTGAGATTCACAAGCTTCCCCGCATTTCAAACAAGGGAATAATTTATCACTGACAGGTTCAGGTTCAGAGGTAGATGATACGTCGGTCCCAATTTGAAAATCTGGACATATATAATTAGTTGAAACGTTTGACATGAATTTTTGATTAATTAATTATATACTCGCTCACTATAAATTCGGCTCGGTATAATATCCTCATATTCTAATTTTGTATCGGTTAATTTGTCCAGGACGATGGATTCTTCCGGAAATTCGAGAACAGTCCAACCTGTGTCTTTCCCAAGATTCTCTTCTTTCCTAAAAACAATTACAGTATACAAGATTATTAACTATAAATACAATAAATATATTATAAATAAGTAAATATTTGTTAGCTTACACAATAACATCATCAAGTGGTAAGCGATCACAAAGTCGGGCTGAATCCACAAGATTTTCGTCTTCCATCCTTAATTAATTAATTGCATGCTTTCCACAAAAGATTTAACGAGTTAGATAATTACTGACTGTATACGTATTAAAATATGCAAGTGAATTGCAAATTGTGGTATTCACGATTGATTTATGGAAAATAAATAAAGTTATATATTAATATTTTGTATTTAAACGTTTTTCGTTTGAGCAACAATAAAATGAATGAACATGTGAGCGAGCAAAATTCAGCTGGCTCGCGGTGGTGGTCACACTCTTACTTTTCCCCGTATTTCTGGCATACGGAATTGATTTTCGTATGAATGCTGTATTTTCGAAGTTACAACTTTACTTGAATTAAAATTGATAATATATTTATAGCTCTATGATCAAATTCAACGATATAATAATAGCGTTAGAAAACTGTTTATGGTGCAAGTTTAGGTATTTGGTTAAATGCATTTTCTTCACAAACCTGAAAATATTTCCTTAATTCGAGTGAAAATTCGGGACCATAGCACAGAAAGTTGTATGTACGTCAGGAATTGCAAATTTTAGGAAGTTAAAATCCACTTGAATGCAAATTCACGTAAAGATAAAATAATTGCATAATTATACATGCATGCATTTTTGTTATCTGTAGTTAAATTGTCTGCAGAAGAATGTCTCATTTTGGTTAAGAAACTTTGAGAAATTTATGCAAATAAGATACATTACACATAACTGGCTATATGGACCATGGATCACAAAAAATGGATCATGGGATGATGGTCCATGATTCTTCTTGGAATAATTTATTACGAGCTAACTGTATTTGTGCTTATGTATGAAACTTGGCGTTTGCATGGGAAAAATATTCATAGTACATAAGTCAATTGTCATAAGAAACAACTTGAAACAAGTAACAAAATGACGAAACATTTATTTATATTACGCAAAATCATGTAGATAAACCATTATAATTTTCAGTATTTCGATCTGAGCCAACACAAAATTTATCCAAGTATTTGAAAAAATATATATCCAAATTAACATACCAACCAATCTCTAAACTATGCGCAATACATGTTAACCCTATTCCCCAGACCAGCATAATAAAACAACTCCTTAACTGACCCCATGATAAGCTTTTATCTCCCTCAGTGCCTTTACCCCCTTCACGTTTTTCTTCACGAATAGCTATGGCTTTACGAACTTGATCAAGTCCCACAATGTCCAAATACCGACGCCACCGTTCATTCCATACTTGATAAATTCCCGATTCCAAAAATCCCACCAGAACGCGACCAAACATGTGACCCACGTAGTTTTTCGACGCCACCCACCCAACCCTTATCTTGACCAGGTTTTCATCAGAGTTTTTTACTTTGACAAATCTCCCAGTTTCTTTAATTAAGACGGAAAATGCTCGCAAATCAGCGTAGTTTTGCACGACAACAAAGGTTTTGGATATGTGGGTCGATCCTACGAAGCCTCGATAGGAGAGTGGGACTACCGATGTATCCAACAACCCGTGGCCGTAAGGAATCTCAAGAATTTTCACTTTTCGGAGGACTTTTAACTCCTCGAGTAAATGCACAACCGAGGTTAAAGTTAAAGCGTACTCATTCGACGTTCTAAACGTGTAAGTCTTTATCGTATCTGACTTCAAAATTAATTCAAAATTGTCCGGAACAATTGGGTCAATATCTGAAACTAGGAATGAGTAGATAGAATCAGTATAAGTGTTGGTCACGACTACCATTGTCAAGGACCAAAGTCCTATAAGGAGTGTCCCCAAGTTGGAGAAGCGTCTCATCTTGATTTCAAATTGTACGCTGGATTGTTCCAGGAACATTGCAAATGTCCAGAAAATCGTTGTTCTCAGATAAATTAACCCATTCCCACTAATTACCCCAAGAATTACGGACATCATTAGAACACAAAGTGTCAAAGACCACCACACTGTCGGCTGAAATGGCGCCATAATATTTAAACTGAAGACTAACTCGCTCCTGTTAACGAACACGGAATAGAAGACTCCATCGTGAGATTCGGCATAGGGAAATATGAGTCGACTCGATATCCAGGAATACGTTTTTTCTGTCAATTTAAACCGATCAATAAATATTGAACTCTGATAATTATGCGAAGTCTTCACTTTGGATATACTGAAATTTGATTTTAAAATAAATTCCAACAGAACACATGATGAACCAGGATATGATGAAAAACCCTTATTTTGGTCATGAGAAATTGGTGAAATAGAACACGCCCGAGTGATTGCAAACCGCACTACTTCTGGAGTCAAAATCATGTGCACGATATCGTCTGCAGGCAACGAAACGGAACTACCGTCCAACTTATTTTGAACCTCGTTCCAACGTTTCTGTAAATATTGTAGCGTTACAGTGTCGCATGAATTGCGACATAACGGCACAATTAAAGGTTCATTGTTCTTAAACACTGGGGAGAGGATTGAGATTTCTTGTACATTCTGCTGATCGGTAACTTGGACGAAAACAACCTTGTAATTAGATCCACTAGAGATAATTTTAGAGATCAATATTCGATCTTCTGTGGTCTTATTGTTGTGAAGGAGAATTAGTGTATCTGGAAATTCTGTCGGCTTATGGATGAATTTGATTAGATGAGAAATTGCAAGGTTTTCTGTTCCTATGTCAAAAACTTGGATTAAACAAGGGGTTCGATTTGATTTTCTAGCAAGTATCGCTATTGAAGAGTTATGAGAAGAATATTCACGTGAATATACAAATGGCACATTGAGATTGGTTTCTCCTATTTGGAAGTTAGATTGATGGTCGGAAATTATAAATTGCAAATAGCAGCGAATAAAAATATTGAGGAAATCTGACAGCTTTGTCATCGTGAAAGATCTCACTTGGCAATACACATAGATTTGAATATCTACTATTGCATTGGTAATAAGTGAACATGAGTTTATGTATGTGCATAACACGTACATACATATTTGCACGTATGCAATACGTATGTAAAGGTAATACGTATGTAAACCATACAATTATGATTCTTTCAATTGATTACAATTGGGAACATCCTTCGGATGAAAAGTAATACAAAGTATCTACTTTCAGCAAATAATACATATATACATATTTACTAGGGTATGGTAGAAAAGTTTGGCCTATTGCGTGATTGAGTCTATCATATGAACAACTTTGAAGAGTTACATTTTTAGCCCGAGTCAGGGCTTATGGAACCATCATGTCCGTCCGTCCGTCCGTCCGTCCGTCCGTCCGTCCGTCCGTCCGTCCGTCTTGCGATAACTTTCGTTAAACTCATCCTATCGACTTGAAATTTGGTACACATGTAGTATGGGGAAAATGAGGAGTTAAGTTCGAAGATGGGCGAAATCGGTCAAGTGGTTGACCAGTGGGGGTCATATAGGTGGGTGTGGTATTATGTATCAAAATTTCAAAATCGTCATAGAAGGCAGAAATTTTAGAGGTTGCCGATGGTTGACCCTAGGGGGTGACCCATACCGATTTTTAAAACTCATCCAATCAAGCTGAAATTTGGTGTAGGGATTGCTAATGGTGTCTAATGAAAGAATATGAATTCAAGTTGGAAAAACTTTCATGTTGAGGGACCCGAGGGGGTGACCCATACTGATTTGTCAAAATCGTCATATCGAGTTGAAATTTGGTAGAAAAGTTGCGTATGGATTTTAAGGAAGAACGTGAAATGAAATTGGTCAAATTTTTATCTGGAGGGACCCGAGGGGGTAACCCATACCGATTGGGAACATTTTTGACGATTGCGAAATAGTAGTCGGTACCGGTCACTTGACAAATATTTAGAAGTGGACTCTATCCCTGACTCGGGCTATATAAACACTGCACACTGTAGGTTTTATTAAACAAAATGTATGTACGTGGTCAATTTTGGGAAAAGTTGTAGGGAAAGTATTTACCTAGGTATGTATATAGTACGTACATTTTTTGGCGTATCGTTACAGGAAAAAGTTTTCATGGTTTATATTAGCCGTAAAATGTGAAGTACCTAAACATATGCATTTGGTTCGATATACTTACATAGATACATACTCATGTACGCTACATGTAGATAATCATTGAGGTGTATATACCTACGTATACACCGTGAATATTTAAAGAAAGCATAATGATACATATCTCCTTATTTATTTTAATTCGTACTACTACACGTTAAATTCCACAATTTATTATACTATTTCATTCACGTTGTGATTTATAATAATACACTAATTCCAAACCCAGAACAACAGTTGACCCCACAAGCAGACAAAGGCACCAAAAACCTAGCGAAATTAAATCCTTAACCCCCACGAATGCCACATCCTTTCCCTTTATTTCCCCATGCCTCATTAAACTCTGATGAAAAAAAGCAAGCCAACCCTTCCAAACATTTACAATCCCCCCGGCACTATAATACCCCAAAATTTCCTTCATCTCTCGTTGAAATCTGTTCAACAAAATGTCAAAATGATCATTGACCAGGGCAACGTTGACAATCTTGTCGCACTCATGCTCTCCTTGAAGCAGTCTAACGTTATGCAACATGATATCGATATTTTCCGCCGTGGTCATGATGCTTCTGTTTGGATGCTGAGGACTTAACACGGCCCACAGATCCTCAACTTTGTAACTTTCCGTGTAAAATACAGTTTCATCCAATTTATGCGCACGTCCCAATGCCTCGAACTCTCTCTGGAGCATATCTTTCGCTCCCCACGTGTTTGGGATTTGTTTAATTATATAAATTTCAAAATTATTGTCCAACACGTCTCTTAACGAGGTCAGTTTTTTTATTTGGTCGGGAACGATCAACCTTGCCGCGATGAAGTATTCGTAACCCACTAAAACCGGGATTGTTAAGAAGGAGACGAAATAAAGTATGTATATTTTCGCAAATTTTTGCCGAAACAAAATGGCATACACGTTTAACCACGAGTTACTAGGAAGTTTGCGAAAATGCAGGATAACATAAGTCACAAGGAGGACAAGTGCGACACAGGACCAAACATAGGTAGAAAATATTGTAATCCATCTCGTATTGGTGACAAGGGTTAAGTCAATCGATGTCACATCCCAGTATCTGCAGTAGATCAAGTGATGACCAATTCTACGCTGGTTAACTGCGAGATGAGCCAATTGCGATGGGATCCCTTGGGCACCGAAGAGATATATTATGCTGCCAAATTTGTTCCCATAAACGTTTCCGAGGTCAAAGTCGAATTGAATGGAAA